AGAGAGAAACAGCAGCCGGATCGATGAGGGTTGTCACGCTATCAAGGCGTCCTCTAGGCGCCCTGCGTAACGGCCATGCCCGTTGGTAGACGGCCGCCGCGAGTCGCTGTGAATCGAATCGTGGTAACCGCAATTGCGGCCTCGGTCACAGAGGTAGGTTTGGTGTCCGACTAGCCCACTGGTACGTCAATACCGTGTCTAATTAGCTAATTGCTTAAAAAAGGGTCGCAATGATAAGTGGGTATCATTAAACATATGTAAGGACGCGGCCAGTGTCCAGCACATAATTATCTGCGTCTGTGCGCGTGCGTGCACGGGGGAAACAAAACCACTTGACAGGGCAGCAGGAGATTTGGAAGACAACTTCACAAATATCTTAGGTCTAATCTGCGTGTAGGTTGGTAATAATTGTGGGTGTATACGTGGGCGCGTCGCCTCTGCATGCTCAGTGACTGGCCACAGACGCGGCGACGATCGTGATGTCTAGAGTTTATTGGTCAGTGCGTGCACAAGCACTTGGAACGTCTCAATATAAAATGCTTCCGGTCAAATGCTCATCTGCAACACACAAGTACACCGCACGCTAGCTGCTGCACACTGACACATAAATATATAGTGTGTGTGCATACACTATAGATGTGTACACATACACATGTGTACTGCATAAACTGTGTGTGCATACAGCCATACACTATCTGTATATATAAAGTTGTTCAGCCGAATTTGTGTGTTCGCGCATAACTAGAGAACTCCGCAGCCTAGAGGAAAACTAAATATATTTTCAGAATCAGCACGTCTGGGAGGTGGTTCTGGCTGAAAAAAATTTAAATGCGATGATAAATTTTGAAATTAACGGTGAATACGGCAGTACATACTAAATAGTCCAAAAGTAAAGAAACAAAGCCTTTCCCGAGGTGGGATTCGAACCCAGAATCAATGGTTTAGGAGTCTGATGCTTTATCCATTCGGCTACTGGGCTGTTATGGTTATACACCATGGATTCACACGTACGTAATGTATAATGTTAATCTGTACGCCATCTATTGATGAATAGAATTTTTTTGAAATTTTGAAAATTGAAATTCAGCCAGAACCACCGATTTTTAAATTTTTGTTGAGACGTTCCAACTTCCAAGGGCCGGTGAGTGCGTGCGTGCTTGTGTACGCGTGCGTACATGCGTACGTGCACGATATATTTTAAAATTTACATCAGTAAATTACTAAATTTGCCGTGGTTGTTGATGTACTTTGATTCCAGCGAACAATAAAAGGCCACAAATGTCAAACACTTGTTTTCACAATAAATGTGCATTTTACATGTAAACTCTATAAAAAAAATGGTGGTGCGCCGAGACAAACAGATGCCGCAGCCCGCCGCAACCTTTTTCCTGTTTTTTCGCACCGCGAAAAAAACGGCGATGGATCATTATCTCCCTTTCTTGGATTTTCCCAACAAGGGACTTCTGCTACAAACCGTTTTCATATTTTATCGACCGTTCTGAAACTTCTGATACTTACCGGTAGTCCGGTACTCCTTGCATAACATCACGTGTGTCTATAGTAAGGCTAACATGTCATAGAACAGTCGCACATAATTGTGTTCACCAACTTGTGCACCAATCTGCATTTCAAATTATATTTATTTACATAACTATTCAACAAAACTAACGCGTGATGTTTGCTTCTGCGAGATTGACCAGAACCTTGTTTCGACACTAGGTTAATTTCCGTTGTATACATTTCGAGATAGGTACCAATCTATAAATATTTTCGTCACGTAACTACATGCACTTTTTCGTGAAAGTCCTTGAAGATTGTCGCGAATATCAAGATAGCAGGCGCACGTTTGCTGTTCATTTATTGTTTTATAGCCTATAACAGCAGAAACTCGTAATAATTTTTATGCTGAACTAATCAGTAATATGCACGATGACTCGATGAGAGGTGTAAATTTGTCTAAATTGATTAATTTTTAGCTCATCTGACATAGTCAGATGCAGCTTGTAGAATCACATGATTGTTCGTGCGTGCGTCCGTGCGTGCGTCCGTGCGTGCGTCAACAGTTGCATGGGCACAAATCTTAACCGCTCGACGTACGGTCACGATATTCGGGACGTGGGGGGGTAATCCGAATACGAGTTGGGATGTCGAAGCTGGGGGGCAAAGATCAAAGGTCAAGGAGGTGTAAAAGAAGGGGGAAACATTCCGGCTCCTTAACTTAAGTATACGGAGGAAATTGCAGAATTGCGGCCACAAAATCTAGAAGGTACGACCTAAGGCTTGTGATAGTCGCGTGTATAGGCATCATGCGTAGGAAAATCATCACGGCGTGCGAAATTGGCAGCTAACAGGTCAACAGGTAAAATGGCGGCTCACAGCGCAGTAATTTTAGACATCGTTTCTGAGGACATGGTCTGACCGGAGCGATTGAAATCAACTGTTTTTGTTTCAGCGGTGACCTACCATCTTTTATGGGCTTTATTGAAAGGACCATAGAAAGTGCCTTTTCCACTGACGTGCGAGGTAAGTGTCTGATAACCTTTTGACCCTGAAAGGAGGGTTCTAACATGGACATTTGTTGGACTGTTTACACAGGATTGAAACTTGCTTTTGCTATTTATTAGAGCCCATACCTGCTGTGGATGTGAGGCTTCATTTGCAGTTCAATGCAAAGACAAAGTTTGTTGACAAGCAGGTTTACACTTGCTTCATTTATTTATTTAAATCATATTATTTTCTAAAGCAGTCTGCCATATTAATACACCCTGAATGCTAGGCGTGGCTACCGGCCATCCGAAATGTAGGGCAAAAAACCCGGCGGCAATCCTTTAACTGATGCCATGGGGGTGAACTGGCAACTTTTCTAATAAAAACATGCCACACTGCAATTCAGATGTGTTTTAATTATATTACTCACAGCTGATTCCAAATTGTACACCGCCTGAATATATACTTGGCATTTTTAGCCTGCTACATTTTCAGCGCAACTCAATGAATTTAGGTTATCTTTACTTTCTGGACTAGATCAACCAATGCAACGAAGGTCGATACCATGTTTGATTATTGATTGACACTTGCACGCCGCCATCTCGCCGGCCAAACTAATGGGCCTAGTGATTATATTATGACACGAATCATATATAGCACAGTCGAGCAGGTATGCCAAGTTTTTATTTTTTGTTGGATGCATTGTTAGCGGTTAGTTTAGTGTTAATACCTATGCCTAACACAGTTTCTGATTGATGACCGTAGGCCGGTTTCAGGCGATATGAACAGGCTTTCAACGCTTTTGCAGAAACGAAAAACCACTAACAGTGAGCAGCGTATGAGCCCTGTCGGCTGTTGGCGGCACTAGTTCATTAAGAGAATGATGTTTTAACGTGTACATTTTACACTGCGACTAACGTGTGGCGGTTGCCTACTAATTTTAATGGCTGGCCGGTTGTGGTGTGGTTCGTGTGTTATATTACGAATCGGCCATGCTCGCATATTTAGTTACTGCTAGTTCGAAGTTGGGCGCCGAATTGTTATTGTAGTAGCGTTGTAATTAAACGCGCGGTCGCACTGTGTACTGTTCTGAGTTTGACATCTGCGGCCGATCGTCAGACAGATGACCCCACGTTGCCGCGCTCCCTTTGATGTTTGATGTTATCGCTTTTTTCGGTATCAGTTATCGAAAATCCGGCTGGTTATTCTAGGTAGGTTTTTAGCTCACCTTTGACATCGTCAGCTGAGGACTATTGCCATGGGTCGTCGTCCAGTCGTACGTCCGTCTGTCGTCAACATTTGGTTTCGGTCAATGGATGAACTACAGGAACGCGTTTGACCCACATGTTTGAAATTGGGTATAGTTGCTTAGCTGCTATTGCTCCCGCGAATATGTGGAAACGTCCTATTTTGGAGCACGGCCAGTCGACGTACTTTCGAGCCACAGGCAATTTTATTGGGCCGGGGAATTGGGAATGGGAATTGTCATTAGTCAGTTCAGGTTCAACCGGATTTTGCTCATTTTGGTAGTGAGTGAAGAAGAAGGCTACGGGGTTTTGCATCTTAAAAAAAAAATTATTGCTAATTAGGTACGGGTTTGGCAATTATATAGGCTATATATATATAGACACGCAGATATATAAAAGTCATGTGGTGGTCACACTCGTCTGGTTCGTTTTAGCAAGATTTCATTGACAATATCTTTGAATGCACAAATTCCTAGCTATGAACATATTATGATTTATACTATTATTATTATATTATTATATATATATGATATTAAAGCATTTATGCTAAGAAACATCAAAGCGGGTATAGCGCCATCTACCGTCACAAATAGTGATTCATTTTGGTTTATAAATTATTTATAATTTATAATATTATTTATTATTTTCACATAAAAAATTACACGTATAATTATCAAGAGTACATAATGGGAGTTCTCCCATATATACTCTTCATTTCTATAATGTACGTTGATGGTTGCTCAATTAAAACTGACTTCTTCTCACTCACTCATTTGTGTCCTTTTTGGTGGTGAGCTAAAGTGTCATTGACACTTTCATTTTGCACCTGTAATCAGTTGTGTAGCTGCAAGTTATTCGTAAGCGGTTGGGTTTTGTGACTGCTGTGCATGTTGAACCTGTGAACCATCAGCTGTGTATACGTCAGGGGAGGTCAACCATATATGCACGCTCGCATACATAAAAGTGTTTTTTAACCCGATTGCCAGATTTTCACACCAAAAGATGTGTAACCTCACATGATATCAAGAGCGTATAAAGAAGGGCTTCTTTATACTCTCTTGATGATATCAGGAGTTAATAAAGACAATTTGTCTTTATTAACTCCTGGTGATATGTGCGAGCCTCACATTTGAACAGCGATATCCCATCACCGACCGCGTCGTCGTGTTCACTGAAATTCCATGCCCGTTGTCAACTCCGAAATCCGCACTCAAATCCGAACTGGAAATAAAAAAGACGAGTTAAAAGTGTTGGTGTTTGTTGCAGGGGCGGCCGGGAAACAGGACGAAGTGTACACATTCTGCGCCTACTGGGACGAGAACCCGGATGTGCTGAACACGAATGGCGTCGATGATTCCATCGATGATTCCGGAGAAGCCATGGCAACCTTGGAGGAGGGCCTTGCTCTCAAAGAGGCTGACAACTTCGGTGAAGGTGAGCGGAGCACGGTGTCTCTCCTACAGCCAACGCCCGTTTGTGCAACTGTGCATACTAGCGTTATTGCCCCTCTCCCTTCCCTTATCATTTAGATGCATATTTTGCTTAGCAAAGTCCCATTAAACAGTTAATCGTGCATTTAAAAGAAATGATACTTTGACGATATCTTTCGTAAAATAGTGATAGTAAAACAGTATCTTTGTATTAAAAAAACTTGTGAGAGCATAATTTATTGGTAACGTGATTGATTAGTAGCTAGGTTCATCTTGTGCACACAAAAACATATATATCGTATATATCGTATATATCGTATGTTTCACGACATATAACTGCATCAATTATTGTTGTTTTAGTATATTATGTAATAATTGTTTGTTATATTAGCCATCTACTGTGAAAATATGCTGATTCGACAGTGGCCACAAAAATTCTAGCGATGATTAATTTATTGCAAGATGGTGTACATACATGGTGTTCAGATGTTGCAACTGTGTAAATCAAATGTTCAGCAGAAACTTAGTAGAACAGTAGTAGCTGTTAGTCTATAATTCAGTTACTGCATGTTTTCTCCTTCGTGCTCAGTGTTCTGTAGCATAAATAAGAACGTTGATTAGCATGAAACCATTTTTGATACGACAGTGTGTGTGATACTGTATATAAGCTGTATATTTCGCAGTGGTTTAATTTTCGCGAATTTCGCGAACGCGTCCCCGACCGCGAAAATAACAACACGCGAATCATTCATACCGATTTAAAAAAAGCGAATAATACATAATTCACCGACCGCGAAATTAACCATTCGCGAAATTGTCTGTCAAGTCTGAATTCGCGAAAATATCTGTACGCGAAAAATACGGCTTATACAGTAATACTATACATGCCACATACCATCGCTGGGGATTGTCCACCCCCACGTGACTAGATAGCGAATAACGATATGCATCCGTCGATTCATTCTATCAGGGGTTAATAATGACATTATTACATATGACATTATTAACCCCTGATTCTATCAAGGAAGACGTCGCGTTCTTATTCCAGTTGTAGTTACGTTGAATTTCGTGACATGGACAGGAAATTTGCCAAGGGGTATTCATAGCGTGTCTTTATGTGTGCACAATAGCCAGCGCAAGTTACCACACACGTACCGCGGTTGGATGTCAGTGCAGGGAACGTAGGGCCACAAGGCCCACAACCCTCGCAAATATCACAACTCGGCAATAGCTAGCCTTCCTGCTGTTTATGCCAGGATTTTGTAACCTATTGCCGCGGGTGTTTGATGTATTAATTATGGGATTTCGCCACAGTGTAGATTCGCGAGTTAAATGGTACCCGACGGACGAATAGTGGATTAAGGGTGGGTGTCTCAACAAGCAAAGTGAGACAGGGAAATCCAGTCGAAAATGCGGAATAAAGAAACGACAGCGAGAGAGAAGGGGAGAGAACGAGAGACGAGAGAGGGGGAAGGGAGTGTGGTAGTTAACGATAGGAGCGAGAAAAGAGAGGAAGAGACAGATACAGACAGAGACAGAGATAGATATAGATACATACAAACAGGCAGACAGTCACGCACGCACCCGCACGCACATACAAGCAGACAGGCACGCACGAACACACGCACCCGCACGCACAGACAGACAGACAGGCACAGGGAGGGGTGCGGGAACAGTACCTAAATGTAATTGTTTAAAATTGACGATTCACGTGACTAGCCTTGTCCACAAGTCAGTCGTCATGCTACGTGTATGCTGTATAATAGGGCAGTTTCACAAACGATTTCACTCGTGCCTGGAAACAAGTAGGCATGCTGGAAACTGCCTCTGAAAGAGTGCATTTTAAAGCCGAGCTCGGTATTAAGTTTACCGAAATAAAATGTTCAAGGGCTTTTTTACTAACTCAAACAGACATAAAATGCGCCTACTCAACAAACCGGTATTTCTGCAGTCTAGCAGCTTACTCGTGACGTGTTCCGCATACACCTGCAGTACTGTGGAATATTCGAGGCAAATCTGGGTTCTGGCAAATGCAATCAGTTCCCTATAATGTCGCACGGTTGGCCGGTAAATCGGTAAATTGGCGAGACAGGTGAAAAAACACACCTTCGATATAAGCTGTAAATTTGCGTTTCCCTAAAATGCGTTCGCGCCAAAAAGAGTGCGGCGTCAGTCTGCAGGTTATCATCGAAGTGATAGATGTGGTTTAGGAGGTGCCGCCTGCATGAAATAAACAGTACTGCCGTGTCGGTCGCACTAGTGGCAAAGGGGTGCAGCCCGATCGGGTGTGGCATGCGGCCTTGAAGGGTTATAAGCTCGTAGGTTCCAGTTCCCATTTTACTGATACGGATTGGAGTCAGTATAAACGGGGGTGTGCAGGCGGTGAGCATATCACTGTCTCGGTAGTGCATGGTGGTCGTTATTTTTGTTCGTGGTGGTCATGTAATGATGTTGTCCAGTGTGGGTGCTTATAGTTTGTCACTGATTTGTCGTCTCGTCATGGTTATCAAATAAGGGTGGCTGTAGTTACCAGTGAGTGGTGGCCATGGTTACCATAATTTGTAGTCATGGTTACCAGCATCCGTGTCATAATGGCGGTCACAATGTGATGCTGGTGGTCGTGGTTACCAAAGGGTTGTGTCATGTTTGCTAGCATAATATGTAGTCATGGATACCCGTATCTGTGGGCGTGGGTTACTATAGCATCTATGGTCGTGATGGTTTGCAGTTACCGGTGCTGGTGGCTATATAGTACCAATAGCTGGTGGTCATGCTTACTAGTGGCTGGTGGTCACGGTTACTAGTGGCTGGTGTTCATGCGTTATAGGGGCTGCGTGGGTCAGGGTTATACGTGCGCTGTGGGCAGGGTTACTAGTGGCTGGTGGGGCATCGGTTACTAGTAGTGGCTGGTGCGTCATGCTTACTAGTGGCGGTGGTCCGTTACTAGTGGTTGGTGGTCATTGGTTACTATGGCTGGTGGGCATGGCTTACTAGTGGCTGGTGGTCATGGTTACTAGTGGCTGGTGGTCATGGTTACTAGTGGCTGGTGGTCATGCTTACTAGTGGCTGGTGGTCATGGTTACTAGTGGCTGGTGGTCATGCTTACTAGTGGCTGGTGGTCATGGTTACTAGTGGCTGGTGACTATTGTTACCGCTGGATAGTGGTGGTTGTGTCAGCCATGTATACTGCTGGACGTCGTTCACAGTCATTACTATCAAAAGTTCGAACCTAAAAGCTTCAAAAGTAAGCACAGCAGTGGTGTCATGCAGTTTATGTAAGACGCAGGTGAATATTAATCCACTCGGCTGATGAGTATGTAGCTTATATCGCTGGTAGACGTAGCGTGCAGTTGACTATTTAAAAAATGGGTTCCAGATGCTAGCCGTTGTCAGCTAGATGACGAGATACTGGCAGATGTTCCTGCAAACTGTAGCTTTATAGCTTCATTTTGGAGTTCGGGGAAAAAATGTTTACATGCCTCTACAGCCGTCTGCCTGTATTGCTGGTCGGTATGGCATGCCAGCCCATACCCTACATTGGCGCGGCTGTACAGTAATCTCCCCTTCACCCACAGAGAGCGCGCGCGATCAGGGTGAAATTTATTTCGTAGTGGCTTCACCCGATGATATTAAACAGTGCAGTGTCGTAAAAAAAAGTTCAGGTACATGCTATGCTCGTTCAGGATTAGGTATACAGGCAACGTGAAACGTTCGGAACATATGTGCAGAACGTGCGTGAGTGCAGAATGTGTGTACTTACGGATATGTGTGGGTGCAGAACGTGCGAGGGCACAGCAGGTGAGTCGGTACAGAACGTGCCAGGGTACAGTACATTGGTGAGTACATAACGTTCGAAGGCACAGTACGTGCTTGGGTACCGTACTTGCGTACATGTATCAGCAGCAGTACACGTGTTAGCAAGAGTAGATAATAACACATGTGTTATTATCTACTCTTGGTGTTGGGGAAAGAAACAAAAGCGTGTTTGAAGCTATTAGATTTTGGCCTCGAGAGAGTTCAATGAAATTACGTCGGACAAGACTGTTATACCGTATATAGCGGCTTGTATGACGCTCCGTTAATTATATTAGACACACCTCAAATTTAAGAGGTAATAGAATCAGAAGACATAGTAGGCTCACCATAAATAAGACGGCACGCTTATTTTTTCCATGTTTTACTTTTTCATATATTTCATGAGTAATCAATAGTATATAATGTGGACTATTCTTATGAGGTGTATAATATGGTGTAGCAGAAAATCCAAGGTGTAATAATGTTCGCTAAACGTCGTTGCGCATCCAATAGGCCGCGAAATACTGTAGTATTGATTACTTATTACTTACACGTTACATTATTTCATTCAATTCACATGAAAATCGTGTACTAATAATTACTTCCGTTTTAGGACTGTTTAGTGTTAGGTACTGTGTGTGATAATAGCCAACGCCTATGGTTGGCCATCGTACTCAGAAATAATTATTTTTACCGCGGTAAGTACCAGCGAATTAGTAATTCTTCGTAGATATAAAACAATGAGAGAGGAGAGTCATCAGGAGAAGGGAGAGGGAGGGGAGAGAGAGTGAAATTGACAGAGAGAGAGAAAGAGAGAGAGAGAGAGCGAGAGAGAAAGAAAGAACGAAAGAGCGAGAAAAAATAGGAGAGAGGGGAAGACAGAAGCGAGAGAGAGGCGTAGAGATACAGAAAGAGAGAGAGAGCGATAGAGAGAGAGAGAGAGAGAGAGAGAGAGAGAGAAAGAGAGAAGAGAGCGGAGAGCATCGGATAGAAGAAGGGAGAAAGGGTAAGGGGAGACACTAACTCTATAGCGTACTAAACAATTTATGAATAAACCACGTGAGTATAGTACATTTAACTTAAGTACATCTAATTTTCTAGTAAACGATAAAACGATAGCTTCATTTTTCTAACCAGATTAAGCAAACTCGCGTATCTTCTTTGTCTTTGCAAATAGTATCCTATCACACCGAATCATGCACCTGTAAT